CACGGAGCGGCTGGGCCCGTGAGCCATGGCCGCTGAGCCTGCGCGTCCGGAGCCTGTGCTCTACAATGGGAGAGGCCACAGCAGTGAGAGACCCACGTACCGCAAAAAAAAAAAAAAAAAGAAAGAAGTGGATTTATTTAGAGAGAAACACACTCCACAGACAGAGCGTGGGCCCTCTCAGAAGGTGAGAAAGGCCAGAACTGAGGCTTATATAGCATCCTGACAAGGAAGAATAAATTTGTAGAGACGTGATAAGAAAAGAAACAAGGGTTTAGGCCTTTAAAGGTGGTAAGACGTGGAAAGGTAAACATGTGGAGGAAACTAAAAGAAGATAAAAGTTGTTTTAGCAAGATTCTTTATGTTGATTCCTCTAGTGCCATGTCCGGGCTGATAAGAGTCTAGAGTTTACAGTGATTAAGAATCATCCTGTTCTTCCTGGTAGAGAAGAGGAGGCCAGAGAGTTCGCCTTGTGTCTGCTTTTTAAGAATTGCCTTCAGCTCAAAATAATCCTTATGCCAGAGTAGCATGTTTTGGGGTGGCATGCCCTGAACCCCTTCAGTGTCATGGGGGAGTGGGATAGAGAGGTAGGCAGGGGCTAGACCACAAAGCCTAAGTAAGGCACTGTGCTGGGGAGAAGGGGGTGTTGCATCGTGTCTTGAAGGCTCCAAGAAACCTGGAGCAGTTTTAAAGGCAAGCCCGTGGTTAGGTGTGCTCTGTAGAAAGGTCGTAGGCTTGCAGCACAGAGAATAGGCCAGCTAGAAAGGTATTATAATTGATAGGTGAGAGGTTCAAGGTCCTAAACCTGGTCCTGGTTCAGGGTGGAGGTGAATGAGTGTGAACTGGACTGAGACTCTGTACGTGCGTCCTTGGTGGGGGGAGGACTTGGGGTGTTGCAGGGGCAGCTGAGGGATTCAACCTTGCCCACAGCCCCACGAACACCCCTTCTCCAGTGAGGCGGCAGAGCAGCCTCCAGCTCTCCTAACTTACCTGTGTGTGGGGCTCTCAAGGTTAGCGCCATGGGGGTCAGCGCTGTTTCAATGTTGATTACAGAGACGGTGAGAGCCGCTCAGATTTCTAATTAAGATTAAAGAATGTACCCGGCTTATAAATGGTTCTCAGGAATGTATAATTTGATTAGCCTGTTTTCTCCGGGCACTTTAATTTCTGGATTAAGGAATGTGGCCTCTGACTACAGGTAGGGCTGCTTGCTCACCACACACAGTCTGGGACCTTTCAGGGTATTAGGATGGTGGGGAGGTAAGTCAAGAGGAGGAGAGGGACCCTTGGCCAGAGTGGTCCTTCTCTATTTGTTTCTTCTCCTCTTCCTCGTCACTTCTGGACGAGAATGAAGATCCCAGCTCAGGATCAAAAAGTGCCCAAATATTAGCTATAAAATAAATGCACTCACCTGGATCTCATTTACGTTAATTTATTTCTATCCGAAGGCACAGGAGGTGGGTCCTCTTCCCTGTTCCCATTTTGAGCCCAGCCAGCTAATCCCTGGCAGGGCCCAGGCTGTGGGGCTCTGTCTCTTTAGGGAGCATTGCCCCAGTGTCAATTATAATCACTTTGGTAACTCTAGGGCAGATTCAGAGGCTGCCTCTTCCCACAGAGCCCTGGGCGCTGCCAGGGAGGGGCCAGGCCGACTGCAGGCTCTGGCTACCACAGAAGTCGTATCTCCCAGTGGGTAGCATCCTAGGCTCCAGGCCACTCACCTTCCTCCCTCCTCATATCCCTCAACCTCCTGCCCAGGCTGCATTCTGACTTCTGTGACCCCTGGCACTCTTGCTTTCATGGGTCCCTTCCTCCATTAAAAATAAAAAAAAATAAAAAATTCTGTTTTACAACTGTATTGGTATAAAGATGAAAAAATTGATATTACATGTTAAAACACTTTATCCTATCTGAAAGTTCATTTGTTTTCTTCTGATTTTAAAAGAAATTCAAACATTTCCTCTGGCCGCTAAAAGTATGGTGGGCCCTGTGTGCCCTGTGACTAATGGATAAGGCAGCCCTGTCCTACCTCCCAAAGCTCTTGACCAGCAGCCCACCTACTCGCCCCCTGACCTAGTGACAAGTAGCAGGGCTCGAGGGTCCAGTGGACTAAATGCTGTTCCTCTCTGCAGAAGTCCTCAGAGGAAGCCTGTATTAGCTCTGCCCCCAGGCTGTCCCTAACCTCTCCCTGGCCCCTCTTCACTGCTGTTTCTGAAACCCAAGCCACTCCCATAGAGGGGGCCGAAGCTTTCCTACCCCCCCACAACCAGGCCCAATGCCCTGCTTCCCTGGGCATCACCTGTCTTCTGTTTGAATGAGCGTTCTCCCTTCCCCTGCACTCCCCAGGCTGACCGCAGGGGGTCTGCGCAATGCTCAGCTCCTGGTAGGCAGGGCTTCTCAGAGAGGGGTTGGAGGAATGCCTAGGGGAGGGGCTGTGCAGTGAGTGTTTAAAGAAAATTCCAGGGTCTCTAACTTAGACTTCTACATCGGAATCTCTGGCTGGATCTGGGAATCTGCCCTTTAAGGGGCTCCCAGGTGACTCCCTATATGCACGTGAAAGCTGGCCATGACTGGTGTCCGGAAAGGGCTGAACTTGGTCGCCTTGCCCCTCCTTCCTTCTCCCAGGCCTCAGGCCGTTTGCTTCTCAGTTTCACACCTGCTGGGCATTCAACCAACATCCCTAAACACCGTGTTAGGAATGATGGAGAAGAAAGGGATAGTGCGGTCCAATCCCTGCTCCGAGGAGTTTAGAGTCTTTTCTTTCTCAGAGGGTGGGGTACCCTCCATCCAACCCTGCCCCACGCCCCTTGTTCAAGAGACTTGTCTTTTCATGCTTCTGAGGAAGAGGTCTAGGGGCTCAGCCGCATCCACCAGCTTCTGAAGATAATAGGAAACGTCTCTGGGCAAAGATGCTTGTTGACAGAAAAATGCTTAATTTTAGGAAAGCAGCGTGAGCTACAGTATAGGCAAGAATTGCATGCATTTAAAGAAATACGATTCCAGGCACTCTAAGAAGGTGAGCTGGAAGGTACTGCACAGGATCTGTAGATGGCACCCAGGGCTCCTGCCCCAGCATTGTCACTAACCAGGGTGTGACCCAGGGCAAATCCCCTAACACCTCTGGGCTTCGGTGGCTCGTTAGGACCTATTGAGATGGTGCATATGGCAGCCCTCTGTAAAAGGTAATGAACTCTGCACACTATTCATTATTATTTTTCTAAGTATTGCTGTGGTTGTTCCAAGGGAACAGTAAGGTGAGTTTGCAGAACGCTGGAGGAGAAGTCTGGAGACTGGGGCTCAGCTCTGCTTCCACCTGGCTCTGTGTATGGAGACCCGTCACTGATCTGGGTCTTACGATCATCATCCCAATAAAGGCGGGAAAAGGGACTAGATAATATTGTCTCGGTTTTACCACTTCCAAGTGAG